AAAAAAAAAAAAAGGGAATTATCTTTTTCTAGCTCTTTAATTTTTTTTTTTTGGTTTTCTCTTTTTTATTTTTTCTTTTTTCTCTCGCTTTTTGTTCGCTTCGTCTTTTGTTTCTCGCGCGATTCTTACGCAAGCTCGTCGTTGACATTTCTTTTCTTTTTCATTATATCTTTTTTTTATTATTTTTTTTTTTAAATCTATCATACTCTCTCTCTCACTTTCTCTCGATTCCTTTCTCTCCTTCTTTCTTACTTTATACTTTTTTTTTTATTCTTTAGAAAATAATTTTTATCTCTGTGAATTTTCTCTTTGTATCTATTATTTTTCTTTTTTTTTTTAAATTTTTTTTCTTTATTTCTTTTTGCACCGACAGCGCTAAGAGCCGCACGAGTAAACAACAGAATCGATCTCGATCTCGAGAAACGACTAAGTTTTGAAGTTATCATTTTCGTTCTCGAATATCGAACCGGAAGCATCGATTTTTATTCGTACGGCCAATTAGAATTATTAGAATAATATAACTCCCGCAAGATTTTTTTTTTTTATTTTTTTCTTTTCTTTTATTTCAGACATCAGCGACATAGAACCGCCTCTATGATGCTTGCAAAAAGTTCTCAACACGAGACGACATCGAGAAACCGCGAGGGAAATGAACGATCAAACGAAAAAATTCGGATCCGAAGTCGTTTGGGAGGAAGTCCCGAGTTACTACAAAAAATTCTTCTTTTTTTAACAAAACACGCTTCATTTTTGTCTTTTATCTTTCTATCTTCTTCTTTCTTTTTTTCCCTTCTTTTGGCATACACATATAATTACGATCACGCGCATTACACAACTGTGCTGTTAGATACATAAGTTTGCCTCGTACAATTTAGAATTATAGCTATCATACATTATTAAAAATATGTACAAAATCTGTGTGTATGTGTATGCGTGTATCCATGTGAGTAGTATCTCTGTTGTAAATATGTATGGAAAATGTTCTCAGCAATTAACGTGCATATTACTTTGAGTATATCGAACATCGCAAAGTAACACGCGTGCTAAGTGCCTCGTGAATAAAAATGCTCGTGTCCTATGATTCTCTGTGTCGATGTTTTTCCCGTGTAAATGTTCACGTGACACGTTTCGAAGCACTGTTTTTTGTTAATCGGTATATAGCATAGATCGATGAATGAATCGGATGTGTATTGAAATCGAAATACAAAATGCACTTTCAATCGAGGCTTCCTCCGTTCACCAGAGAAACGTCTCTGAATCTCCTTTTCAATAATATCAAAAATCTAAAACGATCGAGTATCGCGGCCAGGAAAGCGGCAAGAGACCGACGAACGTGTGTACAGAGAGCATATATGCGTTTTACAATATGTATACAGTACTCGAAAATCCTCGACGAGCCGCGAGTTCGTCGATTCCACGATTTAAATACCAGTCAATGGAAAAAATGTTTTCGCTACTGAAAAAACATACCTCATAAGTCGTATAATAAGTACGTGCAGCCGTCGATAACGTGGATTAGTTGCTTCTTTTTTTTTTTTTCCTCCATTTCTTAAATCTTAGTACCCCATTCTTAAATGGCTATTCAATGAACCATAAATATAATCCTAATTAATATTGCACGCGCCGGCACACGGGGATCGCTAAATGTCGTTTTTACCTCAGATAGCGGTCCCCTTTTATTATTATTATTATTTTTTTTTTTATTTCATGTACGAACTTAATTATGCGTATTATGCATTTGGCGAACGAATCAGATCTTCCAGATCCTGGAGGGATCTGCTATCTTTTTCACTACAACGCGACGTTCACGCGATTGATTCTTCTTGTTCGCGGAAAACAGAAAGGAACGGTGTAACAAAGGTGTCCTTCTCGTCGAGCCCCGACGATTCACCGAACGAACTTTTTTTAAATACTTTCGTCTCATCTTTGGAACGAGACCGATTCTACACCTAACAACTCTCACGATGCACTTGAATCGTATCGTTCGTTACGTTCCATCTTTCTTTCCATTCGACTTGTTTCGACTTTTCCCCGTTTCGATTTCTGTCCGATCTTTGATCAGTGACACGCAAACCGCACAGTTCTTGCAACTTTTCTTTCCTTCATTTTTTTTTTTTTTTTCATTCGGTATTAATATCAACTATACTTAAAGATCTAAGCTCGTATTATTATCGTTAAGTCGGATTTAATCGAATATTTACGGTTCGACCCGTCAACGTCGCTGAAAAAGATTTCAGTATCGTCGAGCCGAAAGTATCCTCGTTTATTTGAAGAAGGGCGCTCACACACGAGGGTTGTCATGATTTTTCTCGATATTCTTCTTTTTGAGTCGTTCCAATGCCGTGATGCGCATTATTTTATACTACGCGAAGTTGAGTTTTATCAATTATCCTTAATCCCTTGCCTCGACTTTTTGCGTGTGACCTCAGCTTAATGTTTTTTTTTTCTCGTTTTTTGTTTCACAGAAAAAATCGTTGACTCTTCGATTACTACCTCGTAATTTCCTTTTTCGGTACGTGTTCGAAATTTTCTGTTAGTAGTAGTCTTCGTTTTCGTAGGCCAACGATGTAGAATTGCGCCAGTGTGGATAATCGTCGCTAAATTCTCTTTCTCTCTCTTTTCCATCGCAACGTTTTTTTCCATCCCTCTTTCTCCATCTCGGTTCGCTCTCGTGAATCTCGTGAATCTCTCGTACGATTCGCAGCGCGCTACTCCATACTCCATCACGCGTCGACGATAAGTGAAGCATAAGCGGTAAATTGAAACGAAGTTGGAACAGCACGGAGACGAAAAATAATCTTGTCATCGCAGTTGCACGCAAACTTTCAAACGTACATACACGTTCTACACCGGTACAAAACACCTAAGCGAGCTAATCATGAGCGAATCATTAGCCCTACCCTCCCTCCCGAATCGAGCACCGAAATTCGTTTCAATGAAAAGGAGGAAGGGGGGGGGAAGAGGGTGAAATTAATTATAAAATACCATCGCTTCGATTTCGAGTACCGTCAACCGTTTCTACCGTCCCCCCACTTTTCAAACCGTCGTCACGTATTCCCGCAACTCGGTACTCCTCTCGGCTCCCAAGCCGTCGTTAGCAAACCACGGATCCTCGTACTTGGACGCCTCCTCGCTGCGAGCTCTATTAGGGGCACGTGCCCGTTCACGAGCACGCATGCGGGGCACCTCCTCGCTTAACGATCTCTTCCCAATCCCTATAGTGGCGGGTACCTCTAACAAAGCCTTGGATCTCATCAACTGGGGCCTCTGACGGCCCTTCGCCTCCTCGCTAGCCGCGCGAACGATCACGGTGGGCGGCATCAATCTGTCCTCGGCCTGATGACTCTCCGACCTAGCCCGTAGAGCCTTCTTCTTCGACAACCCACGACCCTTTATCAAGCTCTTTCTCTGTACAAGTTGCGGAGAATATTGTTGTTGTTGTTGTTGTTGGTGCAATTGTTGTTGAGATCTCTGCCTTTTCACGGGACTGGCGGGAACCTGAGGAGACCAGATTGGCGGAGACAGATCCACCGGTGACTGTACCTTCTTGGGAGGGGTTCGTTCCGGCGATTCGTCCTTCCATCCGCCTTGGTAGATCGGGAACGCGGACACCTGGTTGAGGATCCTCCACCGGAAGTCCTCGTCGTCGCTTCTGCAAGGCGTCGCCTCTGGAGGTGGATGGTGCGT